CATGGGAGACCCAGATGGAGTTCCAGGCTCCTGGCTCAGCCTGACCCAGCTCTGGCTGTTGCAGCAATTTGGGGAATGAACCAGCAGATGGAAGATTTCTCTCTCTCTCTCTTTCTGCTTCTCTCTGTCTTTCCCTCTCTCTCTGTAACCCTGCCTTTCAAATAGCTACAATAGCCGGCGCCACAAGGCGGAGGATGAGCCGCGGAGCCGGCACACCGGGTTTTCTAGTCCCGGTCCCGACGCCGCATTCTGTCCCGGTTGCCCCTCTTCCAGGCCAGCTCTCTGCTGTGGCCAGGGAGTGCAGTGGAGGATGGCCCAAGTGCTTGGGCCCTGCACCCCATGGGAGACCAGGAGAAGCACCTGGCTCCTGCCATCGGATCAGCGCAGTGCGCCGGCCGCAGCGTGCTGGCCGCGGCGGCCATTGGAGGGTGAACCAACGGCAAAGGAAGACCTTTCTCTCTGTCTCTCTCTCTCACTGTCCACTCTGCCTGTCAAAAAAAAAATAGCTACAATAAATCTTTTTTTTTTCTAAGATTTATTTATTTTACTTGAAAGAGTTACAGAGAGGAAAGGCAGAGAGAGAGAGGTCTTCCATCCAATGGTTCAGTCCCCAATTGGCCGCAACAGCCAAAGCTGCGCCGATTCGAAGCCAGGAGCCAGGAGCTTCTTCCGGGTCTCCGACGCTGCTGCAGTGGCCCAAGGACTTGGGACATCTTCGATTGGGTTCCCGGTTCCTGGCTCTGGCCTCGACCCAGCCCTCGTCACTGCAGACATTCGGGCAATGAACTGGCAGATGGCAATGCTCACTAGCTTGAATAAGCAAAAACCACACTACCCCATGAACAAATAAGAAGCACGCTGGTTTCCCATTGTTGTTTTCCTGGTGAACCAAGACTCGAGCAAATCACTTGGCCCTGCATGCCCCAGTTTTCTTCTTTGTAAAATGGAGAGTAACAGTCCCTACCTCACAGAGTTGTCAAGAGGATACGTGAGTTACTACAAACAAAACCCTTAGAATAGTGCCTGGCATGCACACAGCACTCGACACGTGTTAACTATTTTTAAGACTTTTATATTTGACTTATATACAGTGGCTCCATATTATTGTAAATAAAAAAAATCAGGAGGAAACATACAAAAATATCAAAATTTCTGTTATACTCTTATATGTCTTAATAATTTATATTTTCAGTTCTCAGCTAGATAAATTAACTAAACATTGTGCATCCTCATAACACCTCACCATGTATAACACAGTTATGTATACAAATGGGAAAAGTTCAGAGAAAGCATTTGAAAACATAGGCGGATATCTTAAATATATGTCACACACATATACATACATATAATTTAAAATTACTTATCATTCTTTGATCACACCCAATGATTAACTTTTTCATCTCATATATATTTAAAGGAAATATCTTAAAATGCTCATTATATTTTATCTCTGGATAATGGAATTTTGGGTTTATATTTCTTTATATCTTTACATATTCTAAATTCTTTCTAGTAACTAAGAACCACTTTTTATAGTCAGAAAAACGTTCTCTTTCAAGGTAAAGTTATTTTTATCAGAACTCTTTCTGTACTGCACAAAGAAGAGAGTAGAAACAGAAAGGGGCTGGGACTCCAGTGACATGAAAGATCGCTTTTGAAACATCTGAAGTTATATTTCTATTGGTTTTAACAAGAGTTACAACCCACTCGGACGTGCGGAGGGTGGGCGCCGCGAAGCAGATTTCCGAGACAGCTTCAGGACCAGCCCGAGAGCAGGCCGGGCACTGAGCAAGGCTCCCTGTTGACTGACAGTTTCTGTAACCCATCATCGTGAACTTTGTGCGAACAGGGAAAGACGCGGGGCGGATAAAATGGACATATCTTCACAGCAGAGAGTAAAGATGGGGGAGCATTTTCATGCAACTGCCCCTTGTGATGTCAAGAGTAATCACAATCAAATAAAAACATGAATTTGAGCATATCTGTGTTCGTAAGTTTTATAGGGATTTTAAAACAAGGATTTTGGAATCAGATTTTGAGTCTGAGTCCTCCTGAATCAACTATTTAATATCTCTGTGCATGTGTTGTCCAGAATCTAAAACATGAATGATCACAGTACCTAAAGGGCTTGCTGTAGTAATTAAACGGCGTGTTAGACCCTAAGCAAATGCTTAGTAAATGTAAGAGAGACAAGTGTCAGTCTCTGTTTCTTTACTGACATGAATTTTAATTGCATTCTTTTTAGCCCTTCGGCTATACTGATTTTATTCTTGGCTATATTGCCTTCATTCAGCTGCTTAGAAAGAACTATATAAATGGAAAACAAACATTAGACTGTTTAAGAATTAGAGAATCTGAACGCAATTGTCTGTCTAAAATGCCTCATTTTCCTTTAAAACATCCAAAGGCTGTGGGCTTTCGTGCCGGAAGCATACTGTGCCCACTCAGGCGTTGGGCAGCAGAGGGGAAGGCACACAGACGCTCAGCGCCACGTCGGCAGTCTGAGTCTGAACTACTGGACGTCGGTCTCATCTGCAAACCGGCTGCCGATGGCCAGCGGCCGGGGCTGACCACCTCGTGCTGGGATAAGCTCCCGCTCCGTTAAGATGCCTCTCCTGCTGGCGCCGCGGCTCACTAGGCTAATCCTCCGCCTTGCAGCGCTGGCACACCGGGTTCTAGTCCCGGTCGGGGCGCCACATTCTGTCCCGGTTGCTCCTCTTCCAGGCCAGCTCTCTGCTGTGGCCAGGGAGTGCAGTGGAGGATGGCCCAAGTGCTTGGGCCCTGCACCCCATGGGAGACCAGGAGAAGCACCTGGCTCCTGGCTTCAGATCAGCGCGGTGGTGGCCATTGGAGGGTGAACCAACGGCAAAGGAAGACCTTTCTCTCTGTCTCTCTCTCTCACTGTCCACTCTGCCAGTGGTGGGGGGGGACGAAAGATGCCTCTCCTTGCAAAGGCCGGTGTCGCCCTTCGGAGCCTGTGGAGGGGGCACCGCTGGCACTCGCAGGCACGTGGGGCACTAACCTGCCTCGTCTTCACGGTTCCTCCGCCCGCCCACTGCTGGAGGAAGACCTCTCTGGCAGGACAGAGGCCCGTTCCAGACCGCAGAGAAAGGAGGCCGGCTCCGGCCTTTGCCCGGTTCCTACCTGAGAGCGAGCGCTGAGCGTCCACCCCCGGCCAGCAGCGTCCCTCTGGCACCCTCTGCTTTTAGAAGCCCAGCAACACTCCTAGGCAGGAAGCACAAGGCAGGAGAGCTGCCATCTTTCGGCCTCTCGGCTTCCTGCCTCCTCCCTCCTCCCAGGGCCGTGAGAACTCAGGGTCATCTGCCGACCTCGTCTTTGTCTTCCTGGTGACTTACACACATTTTAAATGTGTTTGTCCCAGCGCAGAGGCACCCTGAAATGCTGCTCGTGATGAACACACTTCCTTCGTTTTTAGACGGCTTCCTGGTCACATCTTTTAAAAAAGTGCTGCCAATCCAACGATGACCCAATCCTTCAAATTTCTTATTTAAGAGAAGGAAGCGTCTTTGCATACAGAGATTTGGGGCGAGTCTTATATTTACAAATTCTATCTGCTGGCTTTCCTCTAGGCCCAGCAGTCCTCATTTGTCAACAGGTTCTCGTGAATTTCCCTTAGAAGCTGTGCTGCCTTTCCCCAGTCGGTGGTTTTTACATTTTTCAGTGGTCCTGTCCTTTAATTGCAAATTCAACTCGTTTGTCCAGTAGAGTGTGTGCTACGATCTGTAAATTTCCACAGCTGTGCCTGCAATTCTTCTTTTAGATAGAATTCAGATAGGTCATCCATCAGTCCCGGGAAAGTCTGCCATAACAGGATACACAACCTTGCTAGCGATTGTACGATTTTCCCCGTGCTGTTCCTTAATAGTCTGGGTAGAGGTGGCCGCGAGGTGTGGCACAGCAGGCTGAGGGCTACTTGTGACACCGCGTCCCGTATCAGAGCGCCAGTTTGAGTCTCAGTTGCTGCCTTTCCAATCCAGCTCCCTGCCGATGGCCTGGGAAAGCGGCAGATGGCCCGACTACTCGGGCCCCTGGTATCCACGTTCCAGGCCCAGATGGAGTTCCAGAGGCCCAGCTCTGGCCCGGTCCAGCCCCCAGCCACTGTGGTCATTTTGGGAGTGAGCCAGTGGATGGGAGATCTCTCCCTTCCCCTCTCCCCCTCTGTCACTCTGTCTTTCAAATAAAACAAATCTTAGAAAAAAATCTAGATAGATCAATAACATTAATCTTTGTGATTCGAAAGGTAATTTATTATTATTTTTTTTCTGTAAACCTAAAGCTGCTCTAAAAAGTAGTCGCTTGTTGGGGCCGGCGCTGTGGCGTAGCAGGTAGAGCCGCTGCCTGCATTGCCGGCATCCCATATGAGCGCCGGTTTGAGTCCTGGATGCTCCACTTCTGATCCAGCTCTCTGCTATGACCTAGGAAAGCAGTAAAGGATGTCTTGGGCCCCCTGCACCTGCATGGGAGACCTGGAGGAAGCTCCTGGCTCCTGGCTTTGGATCGGCACAGCACTGGCTGTTGCGGCCATCTGGGGAGTGAATCAGTAGATGGAAGACACGTCTCCCTCTCTCTCTCTGCCTCGGCCTCTGTGTAACTCTGCATTTAAATAAATAAATAAATCTTAAAAAAAAAATCCATGCATAGCTTTCTCATAATACATGTTTGAAAAATAGTCTATTGTTTTAAAAAGTATTTAATTTATAAAGGAAAGTTCTGGTAATATTTCCTTACTAAAGATGAAGAAAAGAGAACAACCAGTTCATTTACGTTGTGAGGCCCTTGCATTTCTTCTCACCCCAGTCACTCTCTACTTCATATCTGCTGATTTACTTAAAGGTTCTTTTCTTGGTTTGGAGTTTCCTCAACAGCATCTCTCAAAATCCTTTTTATTTCTCCATAATTTTTTATTAAATTGCAGTTGATCTTTAAAAGAAGATAACAATTTTTTAAAAAGATTTATTTGTTTACTTCAAAGGCAGAATTACAGAGAAAGGGAAAAACAGAGACCGATCTTCCATCCACTGGTTCACTTTCCAGATGGCTGCAATGGCTGGGGCTGGGCCACGCCACAACCAGGAGCCAGCAACTCCACCCACATCTCCCACATGGATGCAGGGGCCCACCGAGGACTTGAGCCATCTACCGCTGCTTTCCCAGGCACATTAGCAGGAAGCTGGATCAGAAGTGAACCGGATGGGGCTCAAATCAGTGCCCACATGCGATGCTGGCTTTGCAGGCGACCACTTTATCTGCTGCACCACAACTCTGGCCCTGAAAATCAAAAATATTTTTATAGCACCATATAATAGTTTTTGTTTATTAGGCACAGACTATGTGCCAAGCATCATGCTAAGCATTTCGGTTATATTTTCTCAGTCAACCGATTAAAACCCTAAGGAGGTAGGTATTCTGCCTTCCTCGCTTCTCCACAGGGGAGGAAGTGCAGACTCGACAGGGATTTATTATTTGGCTAATATCTGCCCGGATTATTTCTGCTCAATTCCAGACCTTTGCCCTTAACCCTTATGCTCTTTTGCCAGTTAATTGGAGCTGAATCCAGCATTTCTAGTTGTGAGTAACGATTTGAATGCAGACTTCTGTGTTTCGTTATGGCTGTGACGTAACTGACTATTTTTATTTATTTATTTATTTTTTTTGACAGGCAGAGTGGACAGTGAGAGAGAGAGACAGAGAGAAAGGTCTTCCTTTTGCCGTTGGTTCACCCTCCAATGGCCGCCGCGGCCGGCACACCACGCTGATCCGAAGGCAGGAGCCAGGTACTTCTCCTGGTCTCCCATGGGGTGCAGGGCCCAAGCACCTGGGCCATCCTCCACTGCACTCCCGGGCCACAGCAGAGAGCTGGCCTGGAAGAGGGGCAACCGGGACAGAATCCAGCGCCCTGACCGGGACTAGAACCCGGTGTGCCGGCGCCGCTAGGCGGAGGATTAGCCTAGTGAGCCGCGGCGCCGGCCTATAACTGACTATCTGATCAAGGGCAAATGGCTTACCTTTCCAGTTGCTTTATCTATTAAGTGGGACAGCAGGCTACACTGGTCACAAATAGGCGTGAAACTAAAGCAAAAAAAAAAAAGATAATGTATATAACAAAGTTTAAGTTTAAAGAGGACTGCTGATATTAGCCATAACAATTCCTCCACACAGGAGGTACGTGTTTGTTCCGTTATTTTACTTTTTAGCCCCAAAGGTCCCCAGATGCAGGCAGCAGCATAGTCCCCAGAGATGGGGATTAAGTCCCTCCCCAAGATGGAGGGAACTTAATCCAGCTTTGGCTTTTAGACATGTTAGGGTGAAGCCACTGGGATTCACCACAGGAGACCTGGGCAGCCACGTGTGCTCCCTGTCTCTTGCCAGACGAGGCGCTGCACCACCCCAGGACTCTGCCAGCAAGAAGAGCCCAAGCCAGTGGGGCCCACCCGAGCTGGGACCATGACCTTCCAACACCGTGCACCCAAACAAACCTACTTCCTTTGCACAGCTAGTCTGCCTCCGGTGTTTCATCATAGTGCTGAAAAGCTAATGCAGCATTAACGCAGCAGTTGAGAAGCAAAGAACCCAAAATGCTCATTAAACAGGGCAAGCCTGTCATCTGACTCTGATAGCAATGATGTCTGAAAACGAATCCCACTCATTGCCTTAGTGACGGGTGTAACTATTCAGTCCTGATGTGGCAATGCAAAATGGGAGTCTCTGAACCGAAGAGCATTCCTTTCTCAGATTCAGAGTGTATTTGGAGAGATTTCATGAAGAAAATTGAGAGTGTCAGGGCCTCCATTTGGCCAAGTTAGACTCAGTTTTTCCCAGATCGCTGCTGAGTTACCAGCATCTTTTATACTGAATGTCATGGTTCAGTTTGCATCTTATTTCCTGCTTATAAGAGAACCCGAGGTTGGCCCTTCTGCCCGTCCTGCCCAGTCCTGCCCAGTCCTGCCCAGTCCTGCCCAGTCCTCTCCGCCTCCACCTCTTCTGCAGCCTGCTCTGCCTGCTCCACGCCAGAGAGGCTGACCTTTGCTGACTGCGGCTCCGCAGCTCTCTCCACGCCGCAGCGTGTAGATCTGACCGTCTCTGCCCGTGCTGACGATGCTGCCCCATGTAGCCACATCACTCCCAGCCGCATCTCTGCAGGCCGGCCTCTTTGCCCAGCTCCCACCTCTACTGGCTTCGGCTGACTTTATTTCTTTTATCTGTTCAGCCCCGGAGGGAAAATGGTTCTCCCTCTGTAGCCAGTCCTTGATCTCCTCACCATGCTGTATTTGTTTTCTTAAACTTGCCTGCACTCTGATAGAGTACAGTAGAGTTTTCATTAAAGACACTTTGTTTGAACCATCTGGGATGTTTTGTTTCTTTTTTTTTTTTAAAGATTTATTTTATTTATTTCAAGGACAGGGTTACAGAGAGAGGTAAAGACAGAAAGAGAGGTCTTCCATCTCCTGGTTCACTTCCCAGATGGCTGCAACGGCCGGAGTTGTGCTGATCCGAAGCCAGGAGCCAGGAGTTTCTTCTGGGCTCCCACACAGGTGCAGGGGCCCAAGGACTTGAACCATCTTCCACTGCTTTCCCAGGCCATAGCAGAGAGCTGGCTCGGAAGAGGAGTGGCCGGGACTAGAACCGGCGCTATATGGGATGCCAGCACTGCAGGCCAGGGCTTTAACCCACTGTGCCACAGTGCCGGCCCCAAGTTTTGTTTCTTCCCTTGAGCCCTGACTGGTTCGCCATCTCTTTCCTAAATCCATGGAGTTAGAAATCAAACCTGTCATTCTAGAGGGGGCGGGTGCTTTACTCCAGTCGGGCTGCGTTCTGAGCATCTTCACATGTTCAGCATTGTACTAAGAACCATGAGAGGTACAAGAGACATTGGTGTCACATTCTCGTCCACAGAGGCCATGATCCCCCTATTAAACAATCAGTATGTTACACACAGCTGTACATCTGACATTTGACAGTCTTGGCACTAGCCAGGAGAAATATGATAACATGAAACAGGGGGAAAGCCCCATCTGCAGGTGTACTGTTATGCCCACTTCGATTATCCCCAAAGACCACCCAGGAGCCAACACTGTTGTAAGACACACGAGAGTTTTATTGCAAGATCGAGCCTGGACTCCCAACTACCACCGATGCAGAGGATAGGAATTGAGAGCCCTGACTCTTCAGTTAATGGGGTTTTTATAGGGTTTTCAGAGACATTCTATACATTATAGCACCATTCAGCAAATCATCTCATTCCACGGGAAGTCCAAAGAACATCTCTTAAAATTGATTAGTGCATCTAGCGGCAGGAATGGACCCAGTAAAGATGGTTGGATGGCTTTGGGGTTGATGCTTTTTAAAATGATTGGTTAGGAGCCGGCGCCGTGGCTCAATAGGCTAATCCTCCACCTTGCGGCGCCGGCACACCGGGTTCTAGTCCCGGTCGGGGCGCCAGATTCTGTCCCGGTTGCCCCTCTTCCAGGCCAGCTCTCTGCTGTGGCCCGGGAAGGCAGTGGAGGATGGCCCAAGTGCTTGGGCCCTGCACCCCATGGGAGACCAGGAGAAGTACCTGGCTCCTGCCATCGGATCAGCGCAGTGCGCCCTCCACGGCGGCCATTGGAGGGTGAACCAACGGCAAAGGAAGACCTTTCTCTCTGTCTCTCTCTCACTGTCCACTCTGCCTGTCAAAAAAAAAATAATAATAACAATAATAAAAAAGATTGGTTAAAGTATAGCATCTGAGCCACCAGGGTGTAGGAGCCAAACTGCAGGGTTTGGGATGTTATCAATCACCTTAACTGACTGAAAAGACACCTGGAACTTTAGGTATTTCCCTGCTATCTGCTGATTGGCTGTTGCGAGGGGAGTCACAAGGGAGTCTTTTTGGCTTAGGGGTCAGGCCCTGGTCAGGCCCGAGATACAAGATGGGGGCTTAGTCTAAAATAGCTGCACCTTGATCCAGGCTCAGGTCTCTCGGTACCATACTTCTTGAATCTTTTTTAAGATTTATTTATTTTTATTTGAAAGTCAGAGTTACCCAGAGAGAGAAGGAGAGGCAGAGAGAGAGGTCTTCCATCTGATGGTTCACTCCCCAATTGGCTGCAACAGCTGGAGCTGTGCCAATCTGAAGCCAGGAGCCAAGAGCTTCCTCCGGGTCTTCCACATGGGTACAGGGGCCCAAGCACTTGGGCCATCTTCTAATGCTTTCCCAGGCCATAGCAGAGAGCTGGATAGGAAGTCGAGCAGCCAGGTCTCGAACTGGCGCCCATATGGAATGCCAATGCATCAGGCCAGGGTGTTACCCGCTGCACCACAGCACCAGCCCACTTCTTGAATTTTTAAAAAATGTGTTTGTTGAATTGGAAATTCAAGGGGTGGGCCAGGCCAAAGCCAGGAGATTCATCCAGGTCTCCCATGCAGGTGCAGGGTCCAGAGACTTTGGCCATCTTCTGCTGCTTTTCCAGGGGCATTAGCAAGGAGCTGGATCAAACTGGAGTAGTGGAGACTTGAACTGATGCCCGTATGGGATGCCAGTGCTGCAGACATGGCTTAACCTGCCACACCACAGTGCAGACCCCAACCAGTTATTAAGAGCTTGGTTCTTCAGAGTACACATTTGACAGTTCCTCCATCGAAATATGCAGGAAGGTCTTGGGTTCCCTCTGCCTGTGTACGGACAACACTGGGATGCAGGGTCACAGCAAGAAGGATTCACATGGGACTTGAGGCTTGATCCAAAAACTTCCATGGAATTCAGGCAGGCAAGAGAGGAGGGTCGCAGGAAAGAGCGGGAGAGTGAGAAGGCAGAGAGGTGGGAATGTGTGAGGTATTGCACACTCCAGGTATTACACAGGGGGCAATAGAGAGACCGGCTGGACTTGACCGCCAAGTGCACCTTGAACAAAGGTAACACTCAACAGCTGGGATAGAGGGCAGATCACCTTCTTGTAACTATGTTGGTGAAAGAGCACCAAGTATTATCAGTAACCCGATTTCTCTGTAAATAATGTAACTTGTTCTTAAATATTAAGTACTAATGTAGCCACTCTGTAGAATCTTGGTAGGTTAGAAATTGTAATTATATTTAACAAACACTGCTTAGCTTGGACAGGATCTCCTAAGATTCCAAGTCTGGGAGCTGATTGTAAGGTCCTGCCCACGTTGCAGTAGACGTAGGAAGAGAAGTTCAGAAGTGCTGTCTCAGCTAGACCGAGGGTGAGGACAGACCTACTAATGAGGCTGAGGCGGGCTTGCAGCTGAGTTTGCAACAGCAGTGTCGTTCAGGGTGCTTCCCTACCCAAAGCAGGAGACCACATAACAATGGCTTCCTTCCCCTACACAGAGCAGTGTGGGAAAGAGGCAAGAAACACCAGTGACTGCCAGCCCAACCCTGACAGGCACTGCATCAGCAGGGGTTACGGGGGTGGGGAAATAAAGGAGGGCACTGTCCTGCAGGCGCTGCCTTCTTTGTCCTCTTCCCTGCTTGACCTTGTGTTGTGCTAATTCCACATAAGCAGATGTGGCAAGGAAGCTCACCAATCACTACAGCTGCTACACAAGCAAGCATCTTTCAATACTTGGTTTGGGAGTAGCGATTACCGGAGCATTTGGCTAATAGATTCCTGGTGAATATGATCTCTACAGATGAGAGAATTAAATAAGAATGAAAGCTGGATAGTAATCGGAAGCATCAGTTAGTGAGGTGACACGCAAGTGTTCTTCACGTTAAGATTCCAGTTTGAGAGCCGGCGCCGCGGCTCACTAGGCTAATCCTCCGCCTAGCGGCGCCAGCACACCGGGTTCTAGTCCCGGTCGGGGCGCCGGATTCTGTCCCGGTTGCCCCTCTTCCAGGCCAGCCCTCTGCTGTGGCCCGGGAGTGCAGTGGAGGATGGCCCAGGTGCTTGGGCCCTGCACCCCATGGGAGACCAGGAAAAGCACCTGGCTCCTGGCTCCTGCCATCGGATCGGTGTGGTGCGCCGGCCGCAGCGTGCCGGCCGCGGCGGCCATTGGAGGGTGAACCAACGGCAAAGGAAGACCTTTCTCTCTGTCTCTCTCTCTCACTGTCCACTCTGCCTGTCAAAAAAAAAAAAAAAAAAGATTCCAGTTTGATGTAACACTTCCATCTTGACAGTGGCCTTGGCTCTTTGAGTTAGCAAAGTACTTATGTGCTATCTAACTATTTAAGGAAGCAAAAACGTCCAAGTCAGCACCATTCTTTCCTATAAACCTGTCCTGCATACATCAGATCAGTGTGAGAGGTAGATAATTATGTGAAGGTGCTTTGTAAACTGAAGAACTGTGTAACGGTCAAGAAGTGATTATTATGATCATTTAGTGACTCTTCAAAGAATGTGCTGGAAGGTCATTTATAGGACAGTCTTCTTATGTTCCAGCAAGACGCACCTATCGTTAAGAACCAAAGGTGCTGAAGAAGATTTCTGAAATATTCATTACAAGTTTGATATGCTGGCAATAATGACCTGAACTGCTAATGAGAATGAAACACATTAAAACAGTGCTATTCCATTACTTCAAAAAATGCTTTAAAGTTTTATGTACCAAGTACTAACAGATGTGTTCAAAGGAATATTCCCTGCAATGTCAGTACGGAAAAAAAATAAAACCAACTTGGGAATAATTAACACGTCTATCATTATGGATCTGTTTAGGTAAGCTGTGATGTATAAATATGGAATGCTGTGTAGTCAATGAAAAGAATGAATTAGACTTTGTAAGTAGTTATATGGAAAAATATACATGGGATATTACATGCTAAAAACATGTGCAAAGAGTATATAATTTATGATCAGTACATTATTTCTAAGAGCTGCACAATGTTCAAGGAATTTTAAAAATTTTTTATGCATTTACTGGAGAGGTGCAGGCATAGAGAGGGAGGTACAGATAGGGACAGAGATACAGATAGAGAGGTGTATATGTGTGTGTGTGTGTGTGTGTGTGTGTGTGAAAGAGAGAGGGGGGGGCTCTCATTTGCTGGTTCACTCCCCAAATGCCCACAGCAGCCTCTGCTGGAGCTGAAGCCAGGGGCCAGCTCCTGTCCAGAACTCTATCCCGCAGGGGTTACAGAAACCCAGTTTCTTGAGCCAGCACTGCCTCCTCCCAAGGTCTGCATTTGCAGAAAGCTGGGGTCAGAAGCTGGGGCTGGATGTCAAACCTGGGTGCCC